TCAAATTCTACTCTTGAATCATCAGGTTTTTAAGTTTTTTTTGCTTTATTTTGATTGTGCAGCAGAGTGTCGACGACCAGGGTCATCTATCTCATCTCGTGTTCGCCTTCTGTGTGGTGAGAAGCAGCGACACAGGTCCAAATAGCCTTTCAGGACGTTTTCTGTCAAAAGAGGAACCGAGACGACCGGGTGGCCCTGACACGGGCTCCTGGTGGACCTGAATCAACAATCTCAAGGTTTTTGGGTCATCTGCTTGCAGAATAGCCCCAGCTCTCGGTTTCCTTCTGTGCTAAATGGGAACCATCAGGGACGCTGATGCATGCACACCTATCCGCACCTCTTTGTTTAGCATCGCCACCGGAACGGGCATGGCTGTTCTAACCAGGCTTTTACTGCAGGACAGACATTTAGCCCATTTTGATGCTAATTCTTTATACATTTTGAAGAGCAGGGTTTGTTCTTTCAGCTCGGAGTAGCTTCCTGTGCCTAGCTCTCTCTGGACGAAGCACAAGCACCTTTTTTGTTGTTCCAGACAAACCCGGTGTCACGGGTTCTCCTCCTTACCCCAAAAGGCAAATTTAATTTAATGTGCATCTCCGCTTTAAGATGAATCACATTTCCTTGTTGTGTACAGTAGAATGGAGACAGATCGCCTTTCTCTGGGTTTAAAGAAGTGCTTTGAGATTAAGTAGGCTGATTGTGGCGCTTTCACCATCAGAATTACGGCCGGTAACCTTAGACAGGCCTGTCTGCTCTGGGGCTTAGACACACACAGTTGGGGACGCTCTCTGTTAATGTCATCTCACAGATTCTGTTTCCTAATCACAATCTAGCCTCCAGTCCCACAACCTCTGACACATACTCGTTTTCTTTCTCACAGAGTCAAAGTGTTCTGGTCAGGCGGGGGTTATTCTACGGCTGCACAACAAGATATTGATATTAGGATGTCGGGCTGCAGTGTCAGAGTGGCTCGGAGAAGCCCTTCAGCCGCTTGTCAGGTGCGTCTGATTCCACATGTGAAGCAGAGAGATGTCTCGAGTTAATTTCATTTGTCATTTTTGGCCTGCAAGTGAAAAGGGCACCTGTGTGCCGCCGTGAGACCCAAAGCCACACATTAGCGTTGACAGCTGAACCCCGAAGCAGTCGATTCTTTATTCTTTTGAAAGCTATCCATCACCTTCTGTGTTCATTATTCATAAGGGAAACGGCTGAAAGGTTATTTACTGTGTCGATTTTCTCAGAAAAGGCTCCCTGGGCACAAAAACAGAAGTCTCCCGGGGTGACGGCGAGGACAGCGTCACCGTTTCAGCGCCGCTCCGGTGCTCTGCCAGTCAGATTGAGGAGCGTTGTGCATGCTGACCACCCACATCAAAGCTGCTCCGGTGAATATTCAGCATCACTGCAGTTTGATAAGTTTGTGGGAAAACGGGAAAAGTCCAGCAGACGGTTTGTTTTGCTTTATGGGATGTTGGGGCTTCTATCTGCTGGAGCAGGATAGCGGATCTGCCGCCCACCCCTCTCGCTGCTTCAGTCGCTGTTTTCAGACCAGAGGAAAGTGGTTTCCTCCGTGAGAGTCGAACGTGAGATAAGCCACACATTAGGTCATGGCAATTCCCACAGTGTTCTGCTTGATATGGTGGAAGTGTGTGTGTGTGTGTGTGTGTGTGTGTGTGTGGGGGGGGGGGGGGGTAATCTTCAACTCAACCACATCACCAGAGATGGACATTTCGTTCAGAAGACATCTCTCGCTGGATCTGAGCATCCGTTGAAACGATGTCCAGCAGGTCGAGTCGACGCCGGCCCGTTCGGATCTCCCCGCTTCCCTCATGCTCGGTTAAGTCGGTGCCACCTGTGGTTAATAAGAAATATCCCAGATCCGGCAGGTTAATGTTCAATCAATCAAGCGGGGAGAGAAGCCTCTAAATGGCCCGGTTTATTTTTAACCACTGCATCACATTAACAGCTCCAAGGTCTCACGCAGCCACAACTAAGTCTTTATGCTTTCAGCGAACGTTTATTAAACGGTCTGTGTGTGTGTGTGTGTGTGTGTGTGTGTGGGGGGGGGGGGGGGGGGGGGGGGGTACATGCAAAGGGGCAAAACATCAGCTGGGAGAAATGATGAGACCGCATCCTTTATCCTTTAAACTCCAGCTGCATTTGGAGTATTTCCTCCCGTTCCTGGCTCATCCCTTGCGCTCGTGTTGGGAATATTGGGAGCTGTGTGTGTGTTTACTCTCCAGAGCTGCTGTGTGAGTTGGCCAAAGCACCTGCGCTATGAAATCAACACCCCACTCAGCAATAATGTCCTCTGAAGCCTGGCCAGTTTACGAAATAATCAATCCAAATAAAAGCAGCAGATAAAATTGACTGACCCTCATATACTTAATTATTGCAGCTATTTGACCAAATAGCATTTTTCAGGATGCTGTGTGTCACAGGCCATCAATATTCCTCTAATCGCCGTTAGTTATTGCCCTACTTTGTTGCTGCTGCGGATGGCCAGTCTCCAGTGGTCAGTTTGGCTCCCGGCAGCAAGGGAAGGAGATGCTAAATGGTTGCACAAACAATTTGATTATGCCGTTTAATTCCCGTCATATAGATCTGCAGGGCCTGCTGATGCACTCATTTCTGGGAGGCTGCACTGAAATAAATTTGGAGTGGCATTTACTTAAAAAAAGTAAGGACAGTATTTACACACATAAAATGCTTGTAAATTTTACTCAGGCTATTTTTAAGTAATATATACTTTCTAGAACCAAGTATTTTTTATGAAAAAGACCTAAGTAAATGTTACAAGCCATACTTACATACAGTTTGTAATTTTTACTCACCTTACCATTGCTTGTAATTACAAAACCCAAGTAAAAGTTGCTGATGTTTCTTTGTGTTTTTTACTCCACTTTTCTTTGTTATATTCTATGAAATTATAAAGTAATATGTATTAATAATGTATTTGTTAATATAAATTGAAGTAAATTTTTTTACTATTCTATTAAATAAATATTTCCCCAAAACAAAAATTTGCACACAAGGGATATTTGAATGACATTTTTATTTAATGTTAGAAAGTGTAGATATTAAAAATATCTATATAACATTGCACATGCATGCCCATAAACCTTCTTAAATTTCAATACAGTGACCAATGTGTAAAAAACTGCATAAAGGTAGAGATTGATATAAACCGCAGTTTAGAATTTCAAAAAGCAACACTTGAAATAACTGTCAGATAACTGACATAAAATGACAACAAATTGTTTGTGCTGGACAAAAGCACAAATACAAATGCAATAAAACTCACAAAGTTTCTCATGGAGACTGCACCTTTGCTAATAGGATGACCATAACAGTAAGAGCTTATAAAACTGGCCAACATGTGAAATCACTGACAAACGTAAACATTATTTGTGCTGAACAAAAGCACAATTAACACTTGACCACTCACTGTAGAAGTTTTTTGTGCAGAGACTGGACCTTTGCTGACATTCTCAGGCTGTCAAGCTCAAGGAAAAGCTTCTGAAATGCTTCAAAAGTATATTTCAGTTTCTGTGGATAACTTAAATTGACAGCATAGATGACTCCCATGAGGAGGAGGCAAGCGTTTGTCACAGTTTTGCAGTCCTGCAAAACCTCAAGTCCCTCAATAATGACACACACGTACACTGGATCTTGGTTGTCCTGTGCCACACTGGGATGGATAACAGCAACCTTCATCAAGTGCTCATTGCAGTCCTCTTTCGCCGCTTCTTGGTTGACATCCTGAGGGGAAAAAAAGCCACAATTATGAATAACTAGCAACAGATTCCAAGTAAAAGAAGCAGTTAAGAAAAAAAATATTAAAATAAAAGAGGTATACTCAAATCAAATAATATTCACATGGCACTTTTTAAATGCAAAGTTACACTATGTGCTTCACAGGTCTGACCCTGAAATCCCAAAGAAAAACACTTTTTTGGGCCATCAAGACTGAGAGGAATCAACACCCACGACCACAATGAGCGCTGCTACAGTGACCACCATGGTCAGGGCACAGAGGTGCAGAGCACTCCAGCCTCTCAGGCTGGTAACATTGCGCTGCAAGATGAATTCTCATGAGATTTGAGGGTAAAAGCATCAGTTAAAAGCCTGATATGAAAAATATGCGTCTTGAGCAGGGATCGAAGCAAAAAATTCTCATCTGACTGAAAATTATCGCCCGGGAGGGGTGTGTGCACACATTGTTTACATGCAGTCACTATTGGGGTTTTGATTGGTTTTAAGGTCAGTATTCTTGTTTCTGAAAAATTTGGAATGACCCGTTCACATACACAGTGTTTAAAAGTGTGGGTGTTGAGATTTCTCTGAGGTAAAAAAGATGATAAGTATTAAAGTACTCTAGGGGGGTCCAGGGACATGCCCCCCCAGAACAAAATTATTGGACATTTTATATTTAAACGCATCAGTCTGGTGCATTTTGGGGGGAAAGTAGAGTTACAGGTTGGTAGGAATGTATGATAAAGTATCTATACATGTTCATTATAATGATATATCATCAGGTACCTTATAGTCTTTGATCAGCTCCTCTCCACTCTCTCCAAGATACTCAACTAAGCAACTAATGATGATGTCCCTTCTGCCATCAACATGATGCTATTGAACACAAAAGACAATTTATTGCAGAAAATACATAACATAACATAATAGGGCTGCAACTAAAGACTATTTTAATAGTCGACTAGTCACAGACTATTGAAAAGATTAGTCGACTAATCGGATATTATGAAAGTTTTCTTGAATTTAGCATGAGATTGCTTTAATTATATGAAAAATGACAATAAACACAAGAAAGATGGGTACTTCAATGGAAAATGCATATTTTATTGAACTTTGCTGCTGAAAGGCCAATTCATACTAAAAGTAAATAAAAATTAGGCACAGTGCTCAGTCAGTATAGACATAAATGCATAAATAAAATTAAAATACTTTTGTCAGGCACAGTCGGGCATAACATTAAATCTCTTATCTTAAAGCGAAAATACATTTAAAAAACTTAACATCCAAAACAAAACGTGTTGGCTTTCCTGTTATTTAAATCTTACCGAGGCGAGTCAGACTCTGTTTCATTCAACTGTCCTTCGTGCTTTCTCATTAAGTGTTCATGCATCACCAAGGTGCTGCCGTGATACGCAAGGCCTGCTTTGCAAATAATGCAGGTAAGCTTTTTATTCGCCGAACCGAGGCTAGAACGCTCTCATCTTTTAGATGTTTTGGTACGAGTAGCTGCTATGTTGGACGCCGCCATTTCTGTTAGTTGATGCTCAGCAGAGATGCTATTGCGCATGTGCCACTCTGGGCAGAGATTGTAATGAAGTGAGATGCCTCACTCGGTCGGAAAAAACATGTCTGACGACAACGTCGACAATGAAATTAATTGTCGACAATTTCTATTGTCGATATTTGCTGACAACGTCGACGAATCGTTGCAGCCCTATAACATATGTAACATACATACATCAGGGTTCCCCCAGAAAATGGGTGAATATTACCTGCTTATTTGCAAAGCAGTCCTTGCGTATCACGGCAGCACCTCGGTGATGCATGAACACTTAACGAGAAAGCACGTTGGACAGTTGGAATGAAACAGTCTGACTCACCTCGGTAAGATTTAAATAACAAGAAAGCCAACACGTTTAGTGTTGGAGGTACATATTTTTAAACATATTTTTGCTTTTTAAAAAAAAGAGAGATTTAATGTTATGCCTGACTATGCCTGAAAAAAGTATTTTAATTTTATTTATGCATTATGTCTATACTAGCTGAGCACTGTGCCTAATTGGTATTTTTATTTACGTTTAAAATGAATTGGCCTATCAGCAGCAAAGTTCAGTAACATATGCATTTTCCATTGAAGTACCCATCTTTGTTGTGTTATAATTTTTCACATAATGAAAGCATGCTAAATTTAAGAAAAAAATTAATAATTATCCGATAGTCAACTAATCGTTTCAATAGTCGGTGACTGGTCGACGACTATTAAAATAGTCATTAGTTGCAGCCCTAGTATATTTACAGTGCATATATCATCATCATTAAATTGTGTAATTAAAATAATTAGAAAGGTTACCTCATTCAGTGAGTCCAGCATTGGTCTTATTTTGGTCCCTGCAGTCCCGCCCTTCTTCTGAAACATTGCCAGGAGTTTTGGAGTAAACCTGTCCAAACTGGACAAAAAGGTTTGCTCCAGATGCACCGTGGTCAGTCTTTTAAACTCTTCTTTGATCTGAAATGAGAAATAAAAACACAAAATCATGTTTATGATGACTCATGAGATCTCACACTGCATGAACAATAACTGGATTTACCTGATTTTCACTGAACAGAGAAGGCCATCTCTCCATGAGGTCTTTGATTGCAGGACAATCCTTGACAACCTCAGTTCTTCGGCCGCTCGGTGTCGTACTTCTCCCGCTACGTTTTCCCCCTGATTTTAATAGAAGTTTGTCTTTTAGGAACAAATGAGAAAACCAGGGACTTATTAAGCTTAGGGCAGAGATGGACCACATGTTCACTGGAACAAAGTGTTTGGCGGCTGTGACATGGAGGTACAATAACATCTCATATTTTAAATAACTCGTTTGAGTTTAGTTTTTTCTGCGAAAATATGAAAGGAATAAGCCGTTTTCCTCTTTTCTCTTCCTGGTTTTTTTTTCTTACATGTTAAGACTATTCTGGAGAAAATGGGCATCCAGGGGAAGGTGACAGCGATGACCAGCTCCTGGAGCTGATCAGGGAGGACATGAGGCTGCAGAGGGAGGCAGAGCAGCAGAGGGCACAGGAGAGAAGGAAGAACTTTGACAGGCTTGCTAGAAAAAATGGTTAAGAAAGATTAAACATGTACATATAAAAGAAATATCTAAATAAAATCAGTTCTGTATTAAAATCTTGGATTTTATTTTTGTTTACAAATGTGAATTGTTTACTAGAGGGTATCCGCTGGGTCTTGAAACATCTTAAAAGGTGATAAATCGGTTTTGGTCAAATTAAGACCCTTAGAAAGTATTAAAAACTATTATCACATCTTTGCTCAGGCTCAGCTTGTCGAAAGTATTTTCTCTGAATTAGCTCTCCAGCAGTCAAGGAAATGATTAAAAATCTAAAAACTTCGAGCTCCATCATTTGAAGTTCCTTCTCCCTTCTGCTCAGCGGGTCCACTGTTGCTAGGCGATGGAACATTCGCTGAGGGAGTGGCGGGAATTCATGAAGGCTAGGCCTGTCCAAATTCACAGCCGTTAACATCTGGTCTACTCGGCCGACGTGGGCTGGGTCCTTCGAAGGATGCAGACACAGCGTATGTTTCTGACTATAACATGAATAAAATGGAGCTGTGGAGAGCAGTTTTTTATTTATTCAAATTAATGGTTATTACAGTGGTGTAAAACTGCAGCAATGATATGAAATTAGACCGTGGTCATTTTATTGTGTTAAACTCAAGTCCATTGGAACAGTTTCAACAACAGAACA